AGGAAATTTTACAGTTATGATAGCATCCTCTGTGAAGTGATGAAATGATGCTTAAAAGTGACTTCTCTGGTTTTCTTTTTATGGCCAACAAACCAGATTTACCTTAACTAGAAAGCCAGACAATATGTGAAAAACATCAGTCCTGTCAGTGCTACATGACTGTGATACTTGAAAAAAAGAAACAAGAAAGGTTTGCCTCCTTTGAATGAGCCCCTCGCTGCAAAAACTAACTGTGTGGAGGAAGTTTCAGGAAGAGCACCACAGTTCTGCTGAATTGGAGAGACCACAGTGCTCAGACCACCAAGGCAGAGTATGCAGATCGAATACCTGAGGTGTGAGCTGTATAGGCCAAGAGCGAGCTTGAGGGATCTGCAGACGCATCCCCTGAGCCTTCGGCTGTCTACTGCTCTGCACATGAGAGATAAAACTACCCAAAGCTGGGAAAGAAAACGAGAAAAGGGCAGTGAGGACAATTATCAGAGCTCAGACAAAGCAGAGAATAGATTATGTTCCCACTCAGCAGAGTAGAAAAAGTCACAAAACAGATGGTATCAGAGAGAATTTTCAGTAGTGAGAATAAACTAGACCTAGACTGGTCCAGACTCTCCCCTCCACCCACTGCCAACACACACAAAGCTGAAATGCAAGCTTCTGACAGATGTATTGATTCCAAGTGAATTAATTACAGGATAAATAAATAAATAAATAAATAAATAATTTCCAGTACCCTTTAAAAGAATGCAACAAAATCCAGCACTTACTTATGTAAAATTCACAGCATTTGACATAAATTACAGGCATGTAATTACAGGCATGTAATGAAGCAGTACTATATGATCTATAGCCAGGAGAAAAGCTGATCAACTGAAATGGAGCCAGAAATGGCAGGGATAATGGAATTAGTAGACAAGGATGATAAGACAACTATTATAAGTTTGCCCTATACATTCAAGAAGGTTGAAGAAAATAACATTATGAAATGAAAAAGGAAGATATTTTAAAAAAAGACCCAGTGAAATATATGGAGATGAGAAATACATTATATGAAATGAAAAAAAAAAACACTTTGGATGGTTAACAACTAATTAGATACAGCAGAAAAGATCAGTAACCATGAAAATAGAGCAATGAAACTATCCAAATGAGGGAGGGGGTAACATTGAAATTAAGAACACTGAGCATCAGTGGCCTGTGAAATGATGTCAAGTCATCTAACATATGTGCAATTGGAGTCCTAGGAAGAAAGAGTTAGGGAGGGGGTAAGGTGGACAGAAAAAAAGTATTTGAAGAATTAAGGGCCACATTTCTGCAAATTTAATAAAATTTATAAGCCCATAAACACAAGCCCCACACAATAAGCCTAATGAAATCTATGTAAAGGTACCTCATAATTAGGTTTTTGAAACCCAAGGGTAAAGAAAAATCTTAAAGGCAGCCAGAGGAAAAAATAAAAAGTGTATAAAAAGGAGTAAAAGAAAAAAAAAGACAGCAGACATTTTGTAGAAAGCTACACAAGCAGAAGACAGTGGAGAAATATCATTAAAGTACTAAAAGAAAGGTCACAGGATACAAGCTAAACACACAAAATTAATAACATTTCTATATACAAGCAATAAAAACATGGACACCAAAATTTAAAATACCATTTAACCACTCAAAAATTGAAATACTCATATGTAAATCTAACAAATACAGCACTTTAACGCTAAAAACTACAAAACACTGGTAAAAGGAAGCAAAGAATGCATACATACATGGAGGGCCATACACTGCTCATGGGTTGGAAGACAACACAGTAAAATTGTCAATTCTACTCAAATTGATATGCATGCAGGTTTAATATAATTTCTATTAGAAACCCAGTAAGAACCTTTTCTAGATCCTGAGGCAATTGTTCTAAAATTCATGTATAAAAACAAAGGAAATGAAAGAATGAAAACAACTTTGAAAAAGAATAAAGCAGGAAACAGTTCACCTAATTTCAAGACTTATTCTATAGGTACAGTAATTAATACTGTGTGATACTGGTGGAGGGACAGACACCCAAAACAGGATAAAGAAGCTGGGAGGGGCTGTCATTCTGCCTACCATACATACCATGGGGCACTACTCAGTAATAAAAAGGAATGCACTATTTGGTACTTGCAAAAACCTGGATGGATTTTCAGAGAATTTTGCTGAGTGAAAAAAGGCAATCCCAAAAGGTTTCAAACTCTGTGATTCCATTTATATAGATTTCCTAAAATGACAAAATTACAGAAATAGACTAGATCAGTGGTTACTAAACTAGGGGTTACAGAAAGGATGGGACAGGAGAAAAGCTGGAGTGACTGTGCAAAGAATCTTTGTGGTGATATAAATGGTTTGTGTCTTGACTGTATCAATATCACCCTGTTTGTCATATTGTACTGCAAGTTTTGCAAGATGTAGCTATTGGGGGAAACTATATTTCTTACAACTGCATGTATATCTACAACTATCTCAAAATAAAAAGTTTAATTTAAATAAAAAGCAGAGGGAACACTTCCCAGCAAAATTGTATCCAGCCAGAATAAGCCCAATGCCAAAGACATTATGAGAAAAGAGAATGAGAAACAAGTATTCCTCATAAACACAAGAAGCCAAAGTCCAGAGGATCTATATTCCCCCAAATCAAGGATTTCCTTCAGAAACCAAAGTGTTAGACAACATAAGGAACCCTCTTCTAATGGCTATATGAAATCTGTACAGAAAGGTATTCATTGAAAACCATCTTTAGACTTCCAGCAAGATGGAGGCATAGGTGGACGCACGGTACCTCCACACACAACCAAGATTAGAACAACAACAATTTAGAGCTAGAATAACACCCAGAACTGATAGAGAATTTATCTGAATGGAAGTCGGACAGCCAAGAAGTTGAAGTAGACCTGTTCACCCAGACTGGTAGGAGGGCCTGAGAGGAGCGGGCACGGGTCATGGCACGCGAAGATCAGGGAGAACTGGGCGCATAAGGCGACTGGGAGCACGTAAGCCTTCTGGGACGCAGTGGTGGACCCTGAGTATGCAAGCGGTGGCTGGCAGACCCAGTGAGGCGGCACTGGGGACCAGGGCAGAGCGCGCAACCCAGGACCCCAAAGAAGGGACTGACATCCCAGGAGAACGGAGCTGCCGCCATTGTTCCCTCCTGCCCCCACCCCCACCCCCACATACAACGTCACAATCTAGCGACTGGGGTGCCCAGCCCCGGTGAACACCTAAGGCTCCGCCCCTCACCGTAACAGGAGTGACCAGACAGGAACAAAAAAAAAAGGAGAGAGAGAGAGAGACATGTCTCAAACAGAAGAACAGATCAGTCCCCCAGGACTCATCCTTTTGAGCGACCAAGAAATAGCCAATCTATCAGATGCACAGTTCAAAACACTGGTGATCAGGCAGCTCATGGAATTGGTTGATTTGGGGCACAAATTACATGGAAAAAATGCAGGTTACCATAAAAGAGATGAAGGAAGATGCACGGAGAGCCCATAGTGAAGGGAAGGAAACTGGGACTCAAAACAATAGAGTGGACCAGAAGAAGAGAAAAACAACCAAGGAGGAAAAAATGAAGACATAAGAATTCAAAAAAACGAGGAAAAGCTTAGGAACCTCCAGGACATCTTTAAACATTCCAACATCCGAATTATAGGGGTACCAGAAGGGGAAGAGGAAAAGCAACAGATTGAGCATGTATTTGAACAAATAATAAAGGAGAACTTCCCCATTCTGGCAAAGGAAATAGACTTCCAGGAAATCCAGGAAGCTCAGAAAGCCCCCAAAGAAGTTGGACCCAAGAAGAAACACACCAAGGCACATCATCATTACATTAGCCAAGGTAAAAATGAAGGAGAGAATCCTAGAAGCAGCAAGAGATAAGGGGACAGTAACCTACAAAGGAGTTCCCATCAGACTGTCAGCTGATTTCTCAAAAGAGACCTTATGAGGTCTCTCAAATGTCGAAGCTAAAGAAATTATAAGTGTGACACATGGACAAGAAGGGGCTGGAAAGAAATATTCCAAGTCATGAAAGACAAGGACCTACATCCCAAATTCCTCTATCCAGCAAAGCTTTCATTTAGAATGGAAGGGCAGATAAACTGCTTCTCAGATAAGGTCAAGTTAAAGGAGTTCATCATCACCAAGCCCTTATTTTATGAAATGTTCAAGGGACTTATCTAAGAAAAGAACATAAAGAAAAAACATGTATAGTAAAAGGACAGCAAACTCACAATTATTAACAACCACACCTAAAGCAAAACCAAAAGAAACTAAGCAAACAACTAGAACAGGAACAGAACCACAGAAATGGAGATCACATGGAGGGTTAGCAAAAGGGGAGTGGGAAGAGGAGAGAGGGGGAAAAGGTACAGAGAATAAGTAGCATAGATTGTAGGTTGAAAATAGATAGGGGGAGGGTAAGAATAGTATGGGAAATGTAGAAGCTAAAGAAATTATAAGTATGACACATGGACATGATTAAAGGGGGGATACGGGTGGGAGAGGGTGTACAGGGTGGAGGGGAGTGAAGGGGGAAAATGAGACAACTGTAATAGCATAATCAATAAAATATATTTTAAAAAAAGAAAACCATCTTTAAACTAAACTTTGTAAGTTTGTGTTTCTAAGTTGCATGCAAAAGCTTGCAAGGTCGCTGCCAAGACCAGAACAGAGCCATGGAGTTCAAGTTCTAGGGCACGTTGAATCAGCATGGAACCCCCAGGGGGTCTGCAGTCCACAGTGGACCAGTCCACTACCACCAGTAGACAGGGGTAGACTCTGATATCACTGGAGCAGGGGGAGTGTTAAAGGACCAGCCTCTCTGAGACAAACCCTGCTAATCAAGGGCTAGACAGGACAGTCATGTCACTACCCCTGGAGTCATCCCCTGTCTGCCTGAGGGCCAGGAGCAAGAAGTCCCTGAGGCTAGTTGTTTGCAGAGACTTGCTGCCCCCTTACTGTCTCCTCTCCTTCTTTGTCTTCAGGGGGAGCTGACCATGACCGGGGACATGGAGAACCTACAGAACAACCTATACCTTGATACAGTGCCAGAGCCCTGGGCCAAGCGAGCCTACCCTTCCATAGCAGGCCTGGCTGTCTGGTTTCTGGACCTCCTCAGCCGAATCAAGGAGCTGGAGGCTTGGACAGGTGATTTCACAATGCCCTCCACTGTGTGGCTGACAGGCTTCTTCAACCCCCAGTCCTTCCTGACCGCCATAATGCAGTCCATGGCCCGCAAGAACGAGTGGCCACTAGACCAGATGGCCCTGCAGTGTGATGTGACAAAGAAGAACAGAGAGGAGTTCAGAAGCCCTCCTCGGGAAGGGGCCTACGTCCATGGCCTCTTCATGGAAGGTGCCCGCTGGGATGCACAGGTAAATCTGTCTGTGGGCTGGCTAAATACATGCCACCTCCCATAATGTGATTACTGAAAGGGATGTCTCTGAACCTTTTGACTGAGGTCATCTTTCCTGGAGGCTGACAAGCCATTTTTATGCAACTAGGGATCATGCCAAGAGCCCAGGCTTAGCAGAGTGAGTAGAGTGGTTAAAGCAACAGCTCTGGAACCAGACACTGGGTCTAACTCCAAGCAACATCACTTATTAACTCTGTGACCTTGGGATATCATTTTATTTCTCTAAATCTTAGTTCACTCAACTGTTGTGTGGGACAATGCAGTTCCTGTGAAAAATGAACTAAGCCACTATGCACAACTAACTTAGAACAGCACCTGGCACCCAGGGAGTGCTCAGAAAGTGCTAGAGTCAGCCACCCCTGTGTGTGTGACCTGGGGATGCCACTCCACCTCCCTGGGCCGCACTTCCCTCATTCATGACTGCAGGAGGGCAGGAATCCCTTCAGCTGAGGGGAGCCAGTAGATGTCATTTAAAGTGACATTTTTTGAAAGGATTCCTTACCAAACACTAAATAAAAATCTGAGTCAGCATAAAATTTGAGATATTTATAGTGGATAGAAAACTGGCAAACAAGCACAGATGGCTGGGATAAATGACATGAACGTAAGTGGATAATTCTAGAACAAATTTACCTTTGCTACACATATGACCTAGAAGGAGTTATTAGTGAAATGTCCCACTTGATAAGTGACACTAAACTATTCCTAGCAGTCAGTATCAAGCTATTGGGGAACAACCATTAGAAGATCCTAGAAGGCCATGTAAATATACATATTCAGCTGTACTGGGTTGAAGAGTGTCCTTCCAAAATTCACATCCACCCAGAACCTCAGGTGACCTTATTTGGAAATAGGTACTGTGAGAGTAGAACCTAAATCCTGCTTATAAGAAGACCATGCTGGAGACACAGAAGAGAATGTCCCAGGCAGATGGAGGCAGAGGTTGGAGCGGTACACCTGCCACCCGGCCAACACCAAGGATGGCCAGAAGCCACCAGGAGCTAGGAAGAGGCACAGGACAGTTTCTGCCTCAGAGACACCAGAAGGAACCAACCCTGCCCATGCCTTAATTTTAGAATTCTGGCCTCAGAACTTGAGAGAATACATTTCTGTTGTACAAAGCTGTGAGGGGGCTCCACCTGCAGGCCCCAGCTCCCCGGCCGCCATGGATGAGAATGTTTTCCAAGACATGATCTGCTTGGGGAGGAAAGGTGGCTGATCTCTCAAAGGAGAAGGGCCAAGAGCCTTTTCCTCAACGGGCTTTTACTGGGTTCATTTGCACAAGAATACAGGTAAAGCTCATTCATCATTGTCAGACAGTAAGGATCAAACAATAGATAACAAAGAACTCTGAGGGCCTATTTTGAGTCACAGTCAGATAGCTAAAGAACTATAAAATTCTGAGGAACAAACTCACTTCTTGCTTGGACCCTTATCATTTAATTGAGAGCATTCTAAACAAAGCAGGTTTCACAGGATTTTACATATTCTTTCTTAGGCCTGATTGCCCAGGGAATCCACCCTTTCTAGCTCATGGCTGCACCACCCTCTGTGATTGTTTCAGGCTTAAGTCAAGCAGGGGAAGTAAGGCAGCCAAGAGATTAGGAGACTTCTTGCAGACAGAATGAGGACTCAGGCTTTGTCAAAGCCAAGGGGTGAGGGTCCATCACCCCCTTTTGGTGTAGCCCCCCAAGTCCTTCCTTGGGGGCCTCCCATGTGATCGTGCCTGGCTTAGGTTGTTCCCCCCTTTGGGGAATCTCACCCATCACTGGCTAACTGATCAAGCATTGGGGACCAGTTATGGATGAAGTAAAAGGAGCAGAGGCAGCGCTCCTGCCAGGGAGGTGAGCTTTGTCCCCTCAGGGGCTTATGGTCCCAAGGTCGCTTACCCAGCCTTAGTCATGGGGGGGTTACAGCTTCTGAAACCAGGCATGGCAGTTCCCAACACAAAACCACCAAGTTTGTTCTGGCAGCTCCAGGGAACCAACAAGGGGCCAACAGAAAGGACAGTAAAGTGGGACATGTTTTTAAGCAGCCTGAATCTTGAGAGGGAAGCTGACTCTCCTCCCTCTGTCTAGAGTCTTGTATGAGAGAACACACATGGAGTGCATTGTGGGTAGAGTGGCACAGGGAGAGCCAGGGCTAAGGTACCAAAAACACCAAAACAGAAGAATTACAGAAAGGTAAGAATTTCAAAAGGAAGAGCAGTGCCACTGTATGGGGTGAAAGGATATGATTCCAATCACCTACCTCCAATTTTTCATTACCTTGTTTCTAAGTACTACTAAGAAAAACTTTCTATAAAAGCAGTACCTGCCTACCAAAAGCTGTTGTTTTACAGTGTCTATTCCAGAAAGATTTCAGCAAAAAGGTAAGAGTAAAGATGTCCAAAAATTCTCTCGTCCATAAAACAATGAGAACATTGGTGAAAAACACTGTTAAAATCAACATCTTCAGAATCACGGAAATTAACCAAAGGCTTTCAGCAATCCAAGGAGCACTTATTGAAGGAAAATAGCTGAATCTCAGTAAGAAGAACAAGCTTTGTGGCCTTCTAACTTGCCCTATTCCATCCCTACTCCCCCAAACTCTGGTACCTTGACAACCAACAGGCCACAGTCACTGTTAAAAGATAAAGGCAAAGAGAGAATCTTGAAAGCAGCAAGACAAAAGCAATCCATCGTTTAAGAGAGCTGATTTCTCATAAGAAACCATGAAGGCCAGAAGGTGGTAGAAGTATGTAGTCATAGTACTTAAAGAAAAAGACCATCAGCCAAGAACTCTACATCTAGCAAAATTATCTCTCAAAAATGAAGAAGAAATTAAGATAGTCCCAGATTTTTTTTTAAGTGGCAGAGACAATTCATTACTAGCAGACCAGCCCTACCAGAAATACAAAAGGGAGTCCTTCAGGATGAAGTGACTATACCCTAAAGAGTAACTCTAGTCACATGCAGAAATAGAGTACCAGTAAAGGCAATTGTATATGTAAGTATAAAAGACAATATAAATGAACTTTTGCTTGCAACTTTTTTCTTGTATCTGATTTAAAGGATAACTACATAAAGCAATACTTACATATCTGTGTTGATCGGCATAAAATGTATAAAGATGTAATTTGTATGATAAAAACAGTACAAGTTCCTAAGCACAGGAAGGGAAGGACTGGAACTGTACAGGAGTAAAGTTTTTTGTATACCACTGAAATCAAGTTGGTATTCATCTGGAACAGAGTTTTACAAATTAAAATGTTAATTCATACCACTAAGAAAATAATTTTAAAACATAATAAATAACAAGGGAATTAAAATATTACACCACTATGTACCTATTTAATACAAAGGAAGGCAATAATGGAGGAGCAAAGGAACAAAAAGACATGACATAGAAAACAGAGAGTAAAATGGCACATGTCAGTCTTACCTTGTCAGTAATTACATTGGCGCAAATGGATCAAACACTAAAAGGCAAAGAATGGCAGAGTGGATTATTTAAATGATCCAACTGTATGCTCTCTAAAAGACATGCCCTTTATTTTTTTCTATATATATTATTTACTTACTTTTAGTGGGGAGAGAGAGAGAGGGAGGGAAACATTAATGTGTGGTTGCCTCTCACGCACCCCTTACTGGGGACTTGGCTCACAACCCAGGCATGTGCCTGGACTGGGAATTGAACCAGTGACCCTTTGGTTTGCATCCCACACTTAGTCCACTGAGCCACACCAGCCAGGTCAAGACACACACTTTAGATTCAAAGATACAAATAGGCTGAAAGTAAACAGATAGAACATACCATTCAAATAGAGATTTCAACCATAATAACTGGAGACGTAACACCCCATGACTAATGGGGACTCCTAACAGTTACAGTTTCTCTTGAGCAGAGAATAATGTTCTGGAATGACACAGTGATGATTACACATTAAAGGTATTAAATTGTACATTTTAAAAGGGTTGATTTGATGGTCTGTGGAGAAAAAAAGTTCTACTCCTGCTCCTACGCTCTGCCATAAACACTCAGTTGTGGGGGAGGAGAGAAGGGTTTCCCTTAGTTCTGTTTCTCAGAACTGAAGAGGTGCATCCTCACCTTTAAATACATTTCATAGAAAGTAAATCAATATCTATTCAAAGCAGAAGGGCCTCAGAGTCACCTGGACAAGGCAAGGAATCTACAAGTCACTTGGGGTCAGTGTTTCCCCAAGTACATTCCATAAAGCACTTGTGCATCGGAACGGAGTAGATGGCAAAGTGAGTATGCTGTTGTCAGCTAAGTTTGGGCAACACCAGGTTAGAAGTAAACTGTTCCCTTTACTGCTAGGGCTTCTGCTTGTCTTCAGTGTGCTAGTGTGCACTGTAAAGCTTCAAGTTCAAGGTGTGGGAGCACCATTCCTCAAGCTTGTTTGGTAAGAATCAGAACACTGTCGGGACCTGTAAGAGAAACTGCCTTAGACCACTCTACTGACACATCTGAGAAAACCACAGGAGGCCCCAGCTGAAAAGCTACAGAAAGGCCCTGTTCCATGAGTAAAGAGAGAACATAGCTTCCTCTGCCCTAGAGAGCACATGAAGTCAAATAAGAAACTGGAACAGGACATAACCCAAGTCCAAAGCATTTGCAGATAGCTGTGTCTTAATCATCTTTAAATCCCCAGCACCAAGCACATGAGGCAAATAATTACATTCAATATGCTTATGAAATTAATGAATCCAAAAATAAAACTAGGAGAGACTCAAGCTTCAAAGGGATTAATTTGTGTATGAAAAGTGGCTTTTGGTCCTCTCGTTCAAACAGTGACTTAAGCTGGAAAACAGTATGGGATGCATCCCGCCATTGGTTGTTGAAGAGCCAGCAAGGAGGTAGGCATAAGGGCAGACAGCCCTCCCCAGTCTCGTCTCCTGGGTCTTCTGCCTGGAGAAGGCTGGCGGGTTGAGTTCCAGGTCTGATCTAACCTGGCTCTTCTTGTGTTCTTGTCCTCAGGCTGGGGTCATTACAGAGGCAAAGCTAAAGGACCTGACACCCCCCATGCCTGTGATGTTCATCAAGGCCCTCCCTGCAGAGAAGCAAGATTGCCGCAGCGTCTATCCTTGTCCCATGTACAAGACTTGTCAGCGGGGACCCACTTACGTGTGGACTTTCAAACTGAAGACTAAGGAGAACCCATCTAAGTGGGTTCTAGCTGGAGTAGCTTTGCTTCTCCAGATCTAGCTTCCTGCTGAGCCACTGAGAGAACGGAGCTGAGGAAGACTGCCTGAGGGACGGGTGGAGGAGGGGTGAACATAGACACGTAGAAAGACAAACACTCATAAGCACTCATGATTCTGTAGAATTCTTTTAGAGAACTTGGAGAGAAGAGCCTAAAGTGGGGTTGAGCTGGAAGAGCATGGACCTAGGAGTGAGGGGAGAGGCACTTCATAACTCTGAACCTTTCCTAATAAAGTGATTCATACTTAACTGTGCCTGGTCCAGTCTCTGAGAGTTGAAGTCATAAATGATCCTGAGGAGCCAAAGAGAAACAAGCCACAAACACTTGAGCCCTGGTGCTGTTATATGACACCACATGTAACAAATGTCTCTTGAATCCAGGAATAACTAGCAGTTTCTTGCCTGCAGGTTAATCTTTTTCAGTTCAGTCCTCCTCATTACCACCATCCTCCTCCCCTCACCAACAACAACAGTCAAGTAAGTGCAGGCAGGAGGTGGAATCTCAGTTTAGGAGGGCAGGACACTTCGGAGCATGTAACTTTTGAAGACAAGGATGAGTGCACAGGTTAGATATATGTGTTAATAAACCTCTAGATAGTACTATAAATTAGCTCAATACTACTGACTTCTTCTTAACACCTACAAACAAAATTAAATAATAGATAATTTTAAAGCACAGAACACTTTGGCAAAAATGATAGCCCACGTGGGATACCAGGATAAAGAAAGGCAGCTTGAGGTGTGCTAGAAGTGGCAGGTGGGCTCAGGAAGAGGACACCTCAGAGGCAGATTTATCTGAGGCCAAGAATGCCCAGCACTGGCCAAACTCTCACACCTGAGCACCAGGCTAGATGATAAACTTGACAGGTTTGTGTGAGATGATCTAGCAGCTCAACTACCATTTAGGGTCTTCTAGGAGAAAATGTACTTTGAGTTACAATCAATACTCCGTGGATACTTCAGACACAAATAAGACATGAATGACTCCACTAAGTTTATTTAAAACAAGGGACATGACATTAACTTTGCAGCAGCATGACAAAGAACACACGTGAGCTCACCGGCCCTCCGTTTCCCCTTCTGTAGCAGGAGGCCTGCTCTAGAACCCCAGTGTGAGAGGACTGATCTGAGAGTCTCCCCACGAGCAGCAGCTGTGGCTAACCCAGTGACACTCTTCCCAGGCAGCACCTCTGGAACGGGATCTCCAAGCAATAGTTTTCTCCCATCTCTCTCCAAAAATGAGATGAAGTGAAAGACAAAGACTATTCTTCCTCCTACAAGAAATTAAACCAGCATAAAATCCAATCCACCGGTTAATATATCTATCCTCTTGAGTCCAAAACCATGTTCAGGTACTCTCTTCTCCAATTCATGCCAAAGGGTCCCCAACCTTTCTGGCACCAGGGACTGGCTTCATGGGAGAAGGGACTGGGTGGGGAGCTGGAGTTCAGTTGCTGGCTCTCTCACCCACTGCTCACTCCCTGCTGTTGGGGGACGAGAGGGACAGAGACAGGAGGCAGAGATCAGCCGAGTTTCACTGGCAGCAGGGTTCCTGAGAGGCCACAGACCAGAACCTGTCTGTGGCCTGGGGGTTGGGGACCCCTGCTCTGTGGGATGTAATTTGTCCTGATGGAGCTGAGTGTTTTTCAACGAACAAGATGGCTCAAAGGGGATGGCTACTGCAAGGGCTTCTTTCCCAAGTGGGACCTTTGATGTTTATCGAGGCTCGAGCTCCAGCTGAAGCTTTTCCCACAGTGGGAACATTTGTAAGGCTTCTCTCCTGTGTGAACCCTCTGATGTCTATTAAAGTTCGATCTTTGAATAAAACTCTTTCCACAGGTGGGACATTTGTAGGGCTTCTCTCCTGTGTGTATTTTCTCATGGTGGCGCAGCCCTGAGAAGTCACTGAAGCCCTTCCCACAGTAATCACATTTACAGGGCTTCTCTCCCGTGTGGATTCGCTGATGTTTCACAAAGTCGGAACTCCGCAGGAAGGCCTTTTTGCAGGTGGGGCACTGGAAGTAGGTCTCTCCAGTGTGAGTTCTTCGGTGGAAAACCAGCTGGGAATTCCTATAAAAGGTTTTCCCACACTCCCTGCAGGTGGGAAGTTTCTGGGCCATGGGGGCCCTTGGCTGCCCCTTGGGGGAGGCTGCTGTCTTCAGCTCAAGCCCCAGCACGGATCGCTGTCCCAGAGGAGGGCTGGGCAGACGGTGACCCAGCTGTTTTCCAGAAGTCCCTTCTGGAAGAAAAAGCTGTTCCCCCACCCCCTCACCCTGGAGGATTTCCTGAGCCTCAGGGACATCCTCTCCTTCTCCAAAGCATCTCAGCTCATCCTCAGGGAAGCAGCCACTCATGGGAGCCTGAGAAGGTGCCTCTTCTGAGGCATGACAGGAAGCATCTGGAGGTTCCTGGTCCCTATGATTTTCCAAGTTCAGGTTCTCTTTGTCCTTCTCCTGTCTATCTCCTGAAAGAAGAAAGATTTAAAACAGTTCCATAAGTGGTATGCTGTATTTTCTAACTCCCATGTCAAAGAAAGGGTCATCATAACACATTAATTCTTTTCTCTTCTTTTTACCAAGGGGTATCAGTGAGGGGAGTGGGGGATGAAAAACATCATCCCCTGTAGTGCCTGGCACTTGAGTCACTTGGTACTGAGAGACTCGGCTCCGACTGAGGACAACAAGAAGGATATCTGATGTGCAGGGGGGCTCACAGAGGGTACTGCTGACCACCCCTCTCCCATATAAGCAGCATGCATTTTTTTTAAATCACAGCTGACATACAGTATTATATTAGTTTTAGGTGTACAACATAGTGATTCAACAGCTATATATATACCTTACAAAGTGGTCACCACAGTAAGTTTAGTACACAGTTATTGCAATATTAATGATTATTCCCTATGCTGTACATTAGACCCCTGGGACTTAATTTCAAATTTGTACTTTTTAATCCCCTTCCCCCTTATCCCCCATTTCCCCAAATCCCCTCACCTTTGGCAACCATTAGTTTGTTTTCTGTATCCATGTTTGTTTCTGTTTTATTTTGTTTGTTTTGTTTTAGATTCTGCATGTAAGTAAAATCATATGGTATTTGTCTTTCTGACTTACATTACTTAGTATAATACTCTCTAGATCCATCCATGTTGCTGCAGATGGCAAGAACTCATTCCTTGTCATGTCTGAGTCATACCCCAAGGGGTGTGTGTGTGTGTGTGTGTGTGTGTGTGTGTGTGTGTCCACCTCTTCTTATCCCCACACCTGCAGTCGGAACCAAGGCTGCCTCCATGTCTTGGCTGTGGTAAACAATGCTGAAATGAATGTCGGGGTGCCTATATCATTTTCTTCAGATAGATACCTAGAAGTGGAGTTGATGGGTCATATGGTAGCTCTGTTTTTACATGCAATTATTAAGACCAAGGAAAAGCAAGTGTATTATATCAGAATGCTACTTTAAAAAATGACTGGCTTTTATCTGATTATTTATAAAAATATAATCATTAAATATAGTTTGAAAACTGCATAGAAGATAACCAAATCAATCTCAATCTTCACCCAGAGTTAACAACTATGAGTATACATTTCCCTCCAGCATTTATTTAACCAATACATGTGTATGTATGTGCTTCTACCTGACATAAGTGATATATTGTATATCTGACTTTATAGCACTTAAAATGTACAGGTCAATTTCACATGGCTTCTCCCCTTCAGAAGTAACCCAGAAATTCATGCACTGCATTGATGTGTCATTTTACTATGGTTTTAATGTACAGTGAGGTTGCAACATAAAAGTTAATCTGTGTTTGAATCCAGCGTTCACTTGTGCTTCATTAACTCATGTAACATTTAACATTTTATCTTTCTCATCGTAACAGGTTTTTGGTCATTACAAGTTAATGGCACATATAGTAAAAATTTTATTTTGATGATGGGATTTATTTTCAGCTTTTATAAATTACTCTATTTCTGTAGATCTAATGAAGCTATTTACTTTTCCCTTTCCTATGCTGGTGTCTTTCAAATTACCTGCTAGAGAGCCAGGAATGTGCTCGAGAAGTAGACCTGAACTTGTTAACTCACAAAGCCTTAGGGCTTAGGGCATATTCTTCTCAAATGACAAAGGTACTTTCCCTTGTCTTTAAAGAAGCCTTATAAACACCATTTTAAAAAGCTGGATAATGATTCATCGTGGAGATGTCATAATAAACACATAATAATAAAAATATCATTTCTTTAAGAATTTTCCTATTATGGAAATCTGTTGTTTGTTGTGTTTTTGCTACTATAAATAATGCTGTGATGAGCATTTTTCTTCATAAATTTTCACCCACACTGCTGATCAATACCTCAAAGTTTCCTTGAAGTGGAATTACTATGTCAACAGGCTTACATGTTATCATGAGGATTCCTGACATCAGACAAACTGACTCCCAGAATGGCTACACCATCTCTGCTGTGAGAAGCTGGGCAGAGCAAAGAGCGGTGTCTGTTACTTATGTTTTGACTATTTTTAAAATATTTCCCATTTAGACCATATTTTTCATTGTTATAAGTTTTAATTTTAAAAGGATTAATTTTTCACATTTATGAGCTATTTTTCATATGTTCATTAATTGGGAAAGTCATTTTTTTCTTATCAATTTGCATTAACTTTACACTAAGAAAAACAATCATTTATTTGTCAGGTTCATGAAAATGTTTTTTTTACCAATTTGGTTTTCTACATTTTGTTTGGGGTTATTTTCATGTATAGAAGTTGTGGGTTTTTTCCTTTTTAAGTATACTGAAGTCTATTAATCTTTTCCTTAATGATTCTTTCCATTTCTTATAAAAACCTTCCTCATCCAGACACAAGTCAAATATTCACCCATTTTCTTACTCATTATTTTCATATTTTACATCTTTTTCATCCATTTCCAACTTATTCTGGTATTTGACATACATCAAACTTACACCAATCCCTCTTCCCGAGAGCCCTTCTTTACTCCTGACACTGTCCAC